AGAAATCTTTTCTTGTGTACAGAATGGTTTTCTTGCCACAAGAACAGTTAGATGTTAGTTCAAGAAGTCTTTTCTTGTGGGGAGAATGGTTTTCTTACTACAAGAACAGTTAGATCTTAGTTCAAGAAATATTTCCTTGCGTGGAGAATGGTTTTCTTGCCACAAGAAGAGTTAGATAATATTTCAAGAAACCTTTTCTTGTGGGGAGAATGGTTTTCTTGCTACAAGAACAGTTAGCTCTAAGTTCAAGAAATCTTTTCTTGTGTACAGAATGGTTTTCTTGCCATAAGAAGAGTTAGATCTTAGTTCAAGAAATCTCTTCTTGTGGGCAGAATGGTTTTCTTGCTACAAGAAGAGTTACATCTTAGTTCAAGAAATCTTTTCTTGTGTACAGAATGGTTTTCTAGAAAACTTAGAAATTCTTACTGCAAGAATAATACTCTAAGGGTGTTTAGTTCAAGATACATAAGAAAAGAAATCTTACCACAAGAAAAATATGCTACAATGCAGTTTCTTGAAATTCTTGTCTCATGGACAAGATTTTTTTCTTGGGTGAAGAATAATTTTCTCAGTGGAAGAAAAGTTTTCTTCTCTGAAGAAAAACAAGATTGGCATTTTTGGTAGTGTATAGAACGTACAATCCCGGCGGTCAGGCGAAAAGGCCACATAACCATCCGCGCGGACGAATACCAGGAAGTCTTCGCTGGACCATCAACATTACGCCACCTATAAAGGCTACAACTAACAGGCTTTTCAGAAAATACAAATATATGTACACAGATATTACGATTTCAGGGATATCGCGGCCAAAACATACCATTCAAAGTCACGTTTCCGGCGATTTACTGCGCACTTACTTAGACTCTGGTCAGAATTAAACTCCGACCCGGAACCTTAAGGAGATTAATTTTCATAAAAAAATTTTGATATTCTTCAGAAACATTATATCTACCATATATCCAAATTTGGCTTGTATGCGATCATTACTTTTCCCGCAGCAGCGGTTTAAAGTCATGTGAAAAACACTGTGTTCTATGGCTACTTTTGCCAAGACGCGGCGCCTAGGCAGCTTTACAATGGAGAAATTAAAAAAGTACCGTTTTTTGGGGTTTCGCTTTTCTCAAATCAGTTAAAACGGAAGGAAACGCCCGCTCTGGTCATTGGCTAGGGATAGATGTGGTTTTATCGTCCTTTCGGTGCTGCATACTTGCGGAAAACCTCTTGTAAAGTTGGGATCGATGACGTCACGCAGTGACGTCATGCGTTGTCCAAGTTAAACAGCAGGGGGTCACGTTTTTGCTTCACCGCTTTTACATTAAAATGAAGAATACGTCAGTATTTTGACCTTAGGTGATAGAACTGAGTTCACACTTTCCGAATCAAATGAGTCCGACACCAAACTGTTCACTACTTTGCCGTGAATGGCCTATTAAGTAGCACAGCGCACCTTAAATGTGTGAAAAACTGCGTTCTTACAA